CGTATGCTTTGAAATCTTCATTTAAAAATATTCTTTGGTATCTCCCTGTTAACATAGGATGGATAAAATGAAGCTATGTGAAAAAAGAAATCTATTTCTGCTGCCGATCTAAAATATTCCAGCATTTTTAACAGGGTGTGCATGTGTGGGTTCGTTCACACATGCTATGTCTGCATGTTACTGACATCTCTTTTTTTATTTCTTCAAAAAAAGCATTAAATTTACCTAACTGCTGGTGCATCCCCTTTAAGGGCGAGGAGGAGGAGGAGAGGGGCTGGGCTGGGACCACACACCTCCTCACCAACTTCTCTGGTACTAAGTCCTTTCTCAGGTATTCCAGTCCACCTGCACGCAATTTCTGCGGCAGAAGACTATTTTCCAGACAGCTGCCACTGCCCCAAACTCCCAATTCTTCCTTCAAGGTCTGAGCTGTTTCTGCTTCCCGCCTTGTTAGAAATAATCCGCAGGCAGAAGTAAGGCAGTCGTTTTGGGCCGATACCTTGTCTCCCTCTTCCCCAGCCGCGCTCCATCTCCACTGGGCGAGCAAGAACCAGGCACAGCTTGGAGAATTAAAGCCAATGCTTAATTCTTTAAACAAAAATGTGTCACCGCCACACGAGCACGGCTGATCCACGGGCTGCTGGCGGCTCACATGCTGGTTCCGTGCTGGTCGCAGGGCTGCTGGGTGAGGCAAACCCCTGGCTGGGGCAGTCAGCCAGCCGAGAGCCGACGCTGCTGCTGCGTCACGCTGGGGTACAGCTGCACGCACAGCCCAGCCCCGCTTTGCAACAGCGCGGAGGGATCCCTGGGGAGATATTCATCTCCCTCCTGCAAACTGCTCCCCATCTCCTCTTCTCTCTCCTCAGCCCCTGGGGAGCCTTTTGGCTCTCTGGGAAATGAAGACCATACCAGGCAGTGGAGATGGTCAGCCAGCTCGGTCCCCTCACCTTACCCTAGGACTCGCTGTGCGAAAACCCCATCATTCAGCACAAATCAGGGCCATCTTCCCACCTGCCTGGAGCTCAGAGGGGCTGACAGGGCTACTTGGGGCCAGTACGAGGGTAACACCCGGCCTTTCCCAGTAAGGTGAGCAGGGCGGACTCAGCATCCCGGGGCTCCCACACTTCAATCCCAGCTGCATCCACCAGCAGTATCTTCCCACCTCTGGCTGCTGCCGCCAGAAGCATGACAGCACCCTCTTCCCAGCAGCCACCCAGGGATCAGATACACATTCGTGGTCTTCAGCTTTCCTTTCCCAACATCCCCCCTGCCCTTGACCGCTGCTTCCCTGGATGTTGACGCTACTTGAAGTTGATGGAGCATTTCATTTGCTGCTGAGCCGAGTAAATCCTGGCCCTAGCAGGGGGAACATTAATTGTGAGGCAGCTGCCAGAGCCAGGGGAGCCAAGCAGCTTACGGTTTTCTAATTAAAGGCCCGTGGTCGTGCAGGACATGGTGGAGAGCTGAGCAGACCAAGCCTCACTGGTCCATCCAGCAGCCTCACGTGGAACCAGCTGCAACTAAGTGCATCCCGGTGTGATTTCTGCTGGCTTAGTGGTGGTGGGGAGGTACCATTTACTATAGGTGATGACTTTTAATTAAATCCTGCTCTATTCATATTTGAAAGGCACTTTGAAGTTCCAGGGGATGGGACAGGTCAAGGGCAGAGGAGGCCATCCCAGGC